TTAAGAACTAAAATTTGAAAGGTTAGAAAACCAGTATTGCTCAGGAGGAAATTGGTGGGGAAAGTAGGTTTGCGCTGGTCTTTGATTTGTTAATTTTCTAAGAAAACTGGTGAAAGGTTTTTGCTTTCTTTTTGAAGTCAGTGTGTGATAACTTCACATGATATTTGACCAAAATAGTTTGATTTTTATTAAAAGTATTGTTGGCTAGGTGCAGTGGTTCATGCCTGTAGTCCTAGCACTTTGGGAGTCTGAGATGGGAGTATTGTGTGAGGCCAGGACTGTAAGACCAGCCTGGGCAATAGTGAGACCCTCGTCTCTACAGAAAAATTTTAAAAACTTAGCTGAGCATAGTGGCACATATCTGTAGTCTCAGCTACTCAAGAGGCTGAGGCAGGAGGATCACTTGAGCCCAGGAGTTTGAGGTTATAGTGAGCTATGATGATGTCAAAGTATTGTTGAGGGTCCAGGCTTATAATTGTTGAATGTAGAGATTTTCTTTTGAAGAAGATGCTTTTCAATAAGAAGAAGTAGCTGGTTTAGGTCATGAGTTTATATTTCTGCAAGGTTACAGAATTTAGGTATTGCACTATTGAAGATACTATGAAAACGTAATAAGAGTAACTTAAATATCTCCACAGGCAAGACTAAAGCTCTTTCCCCATCACATAGGGGAGCTGCATATTCTGGGAGTTGTTTATAATCTTGGCACTATTCAGGGCTCCATGACAGTAGATGGCATTGGTGCTCTTCCTGGATGTCACACAGGTAAAGCTATAGCATTGCTAAATAATTAGAAAACTAATTCTTAAATCATTCCATAGAATAAAATGAACGAAAATGAAGTCTTTTCTAAATAGGTTAAATGTACCTTTAGGTAAAGGCATTTAGTCATATGTAAGAATGACAAATTTAGATTATTTTACCCTCTGCCAAAGCATCAAAAATAAACAACTTTATTCCCTTCCAATGTATTTTCTTTTGATAATTCTTAGGCTCTACCATATGTATCTTTTCAAATTTAGTAAATTCTAATGAAATAAATTTTATTGATTGAGATATCTACTACTAATACAAAACCATCTTATTATATTCTGTTTTTTGAATATTTCTTTTTTATAAAACGTAGGACAAATTAAAGACCAGTGTTTTCACATCATTGAATATTAACCACCTTAAATTCTGTCTTCTAGACTGTAAAAAGAGTAGGGTTTTAGTGTTAAGCTGATATTCTTGATGCCTTATGTAGTATGTTCTATAATTTTTTGAAGAATAAAACTATAAGACATACATATTTAACATAATTTACTTTAAAAAAAAACTCATGGAACCCATGAAGATTTAACATTTCCTTGTAATTGTTATATGTAGTTATTTAAGTTGATAAGATGCTAGGGAGGGAGTTTGCTATAAAACCCCCCTACTTTTAATCCTTCGTTTTAGTAGGTATGTCTTATTTTCTGACAAATAATCTGAATACTCATTGACAAACATGAATTTAGCATTTACAAAAGCTGATTAATACTATTAGGAAATCTGGGACCACTTGGAATATTTATTGGTTCTTTTAACCTTCAATTTAATATTTCTGTTTG